ATGAGCCATTCTAGTTTGTCAAAGTAGTCAGTTGCCACCTTATTCTCCATCTTGTAGTCCTTGATCTTTTGTTTATGGACTTCTTGAACTGTCAGATCAATAAATTTGTCATATAGCATTTGTTTAAATACTAGCCATGAGAGATACTAGTAGTGCTCCTGAGTTGACAATCAGAAGTTTGGAGAAATGAAGATCCATCAGGTCTTCACCTTCTCCTTGAGGTAGAAGGCAGTGAACATGACCTTGTTCATATTAGTTCCAAGAAATCCAATATAAACTTCAAAATATTGCTTGCAGTCAATCAGAAATCAGTTGATATCATCAGAAGCTCCCTTGAAGGGGCAGGGTTTCCAGAGTAAGTTGGGCCAATATTGCAATACAGTAGCATCTTGTGGTAATGTGTCTATCAGATTGGACCATTCTGAAAAAGGAGGACACTGCCATTCGATTGGTGGTCTGAGGAAAAAGTGTAATGAGTTGTCATCTGCCACTAGACTCCCTTGTAGCACTGCTTCTTTTCAGATAATTACTCTGTCCCATATTGTGAATCTCAGTCAGATGGCCTTAGGATCATCTTGCATCAGCTCTTTCCTCTTCTCACTCCTGGTTACCTTATCAGAGGGGAGCTGGGCCCTTAAGATTCAGCTTTCTCTACCAGTCTATGGATTCTGGTATAAGCTCAGTGGTGAAGTCTTCTGAGGTTGGAATCTTGCTAGCTGAGTGACTGTAGAGTGTGAGGATGGAACAGAGTATGAAAACATGCTTCAGATCAATAGAGTCATATATACAGCTCATTTTGGGATGACTGATGGTGACCACAGTATGGGTTGTATGGGTGGGGGTTCCTGGTATGCTGAAGGTCAGCTAACCAGATCCTCAGAATGCCTTTTGCTGTATTGTTGTGTGGCATAATCTGTTGCCACATATCTTAATATTTCTGTTTTTTCATTAATTTCTGATTGCAAATATAACTGTCCCAGACATAATGCCAGCCAGTTGGCATCACACCATAAAAAGTTTACCTCCTGCAGGTAATACTCCTGGTATTCCTTATCTCTAGCTTCTTGTATCACCTTTTCCAGTTCTTCTTCATCCATGTCTTCTTAGAGACCATAGCTGAGCTCTCCACTCTGACAAAGTGGTTTGCTCTCTTCAGTGTCTTTGTCCTTCTCAGGCTCATCCTCTCCTTTCTCAAGAGGGAAAATAGTGAGTGGATCATAAAAACTCTCCTCTCTCTCTAGCAGTTGTACCATTATTATTGATCTGCTGCTGAGGGTTGGACCCATTCATAGAGCCTGAAAAGTCTGATGCATTGATATAGATGGTGGCAGGCTGGCTTTTGATGTTGGAGTCATACCAGTTTCTCCCTGTTGCTCATGCCACTGCCACTTGCTTGTGATAGAAGCAGACGTTCTGTCAGTGTCCATCATCAAGAAGCTGGCTAACCACTTGGCTCCTGAGGAACCCTCAGAGGGCACAAGCAAGAATATAGGCATTGCCAGATGCTCATAGTCTATAGTGTTTGAGGATGGACTTGTCATCCTGAAACATGGTGTTGGTGCTGAGAGTTCATCAGAGAGGGGAATACTAAGGAGTTGGAGGGTGTCAGGAGGGTCCTGAGACATTATTCCAAGCAGGAGGAGGGATTCTGTTATCTCTTGCTCTGGCTTCCTCAGCTATGAGGATTTCTGCATCTCTCTAATATGCTGCATCCCAGGAGTTAGATTCTATGCTAGGTTCTCTAAAGACTGGAGTTGAGAGGGATTGGTCAGTGTGGACTGATGCAAGTATGGATGCAACCTCAAGCTGGAGTCTATACCAGTTGGAGACATCAGCCCTCACCAGTCAAGTCCTTTTGATGTTTTGCTGCTTCTTCCAGTGCTGCTGGTTATACTTGGCAGCTATAGCTGCTTCTCTCCTCTGCCTACTCCTCTTGATGAGATGCTCCTTAAGCTTGCTGTGAACTGGTCACAGAGCATCTCACTGTCTGCACTCTTCCTGCCAGAGTGCCTCATCATAGTTAAAGGAGACATTGGGATCTCAGGCTGGAAAGAGCCAGTGAATGATTTTGTTCCTGTTTTCTCTGTATTGTTGCTCATCATCGAGCCAGTCTGAGGGAGCCCTCTCCAGTCCACTGTTTGTTCTGACAGAGCAGGTGGTCAGATTGAGGGTTTCTTGAGACTGGCTTCAAGATATCATGCTGCAGGGTCCTATAGCCATCTGAGTAGCATTGAGGGAATCTCAGGCATGGTCAGCAATCCTGTGGGTGTGAGAGGTAGTGGAAGAATAGGGGAAGACTGAGTGGTGCTCCTGGCTGGAGATCCAGAAGTTTCTGAATCCTGTGACATGAGAGTCACCATCTCTGCTAAATCTCCTAGAAGAGTATTAGTGTCTTTCTTCTTCTTGAACATCCCCTTAATGCAAGCTGCTAGACCCAGCTTCAGGTATGGAGCTTGTTGGGAGCTAGTGGGACATTTATCTGGATTCTGAGATGTCATGTAGGGGGAGGTTGGAGGTTACATTTCATAGAATGTGTCAGATGTGTTGAAATTCTTGATAATGTCAGATGGTCCAGGCAGTTATCAAGTGACATCTCTGGCACAGCTGGATGATCACTAGTAAGCCTAAAAGTGTTCTGACAATGGAAGCTAAGAGTTCAAAGAACTCTCAGTCAAAGTTTGGATCTAATGAGTTGATTGAAGGCATTCAGTTTCCTCCACATTATAGTGTGTAAGAAAAGAGAAGAGGAAGCTTTGAGCTAATTGTTAGACTCAAGCATCACATAAACAGAAACATGTGATAAATAGAAGTCACCTCACACTTTGGGTGATCAACTGAGTCCACTGATATGTATTCTGATCAATATGTCACAAGGCCTGAAGGATCAGCTCAAGTATAGAATGATATATAAATGAACTTTAGCTCAAAGCTGGGAATTACCAGTGAGAGTGAGCCATCTTAAATACTGTACAAGGTCTGCTAATAATACTACTACCTATTATATATTTTTTAGTCTATTGTGCCTATTGTCCTAGAGTATCATTATCATACATAAAAGGGTTGTCATACATTGTCAAGCAGCATTGTCGCATCAAAAGACAATGACAGACTCAGCCAGTTGTGATGACTAAGTCTTGTCCCACAGTCTTAAGTGCTCATCTTAATACTCTGACTAAGCATAAATAGGGGTTAAGTCAAAAAGCAAAATGGAAAAATCATAACAAGCTTGCTTGATCTGCTCCTGCAGAAGTCTGATATAATCTTTAGCAACTTCAGATGAAATGCCAAGTTGGTGAAGTCTGTCAGCAAAGTGAAGAACATTGATAGTGCCTCTAACACATTCCTTGACAAGGTCTTCATAATGTTTAGCTAAGACAGTGACACCTTCAACATCAGTCAATTGATTGAAGGTTATAAATGAGATCAATAGATTTGAGAGACAAACATCTAGACAAAAAACTCAATAATTTATACAATAATGGTCCAGTAATATTGAATGAGGATTGGTTAGGTCTGGTGAAGCTAAGACTACTCAAATGAGCCAATTGTAAGATAAAGGAAGAGGTGGAGCCTCACTAGACAATAGAAGTTACTGACAAGTGAAGGAGAAGGTGAAGCCTTAAAGCCTGAGATTGGTGGTCAGAAAAGATTGACAGTGAGAGAGCAGAGCTTGTCTCACTCAGGAATGTGAGATGAAAGTGGAATGAAAAAGAGACATCTGATGCTAATGTCTCTCATAAATCAGCATCAGCTGAGACTTAGCACTGAGACAGAGATAACATTAGCAATTCCTCTTCATGGACAAGCAGAGCTCTATATCTCTGTGTCAACAGAGATTGTGATGACCTCAAGAGCCATACAGAGGCCTGCAAAAACACTCCCTACCCTTGGAATCTGTCTTTACAATAGATTGGCCACAATTGAGGAGGTTTGTAAAAATAAACAGACAATAAAGGAAATTTTTTAGATTTGCACCTACAGCAGGCAAATCAAAGCTATCATATTCACAGAGTTGACAGCTGGTATGACAACTATCTCTTCAGGTCACAGGTGATTTGGCATATTACAATCTAGATACAATTGTTGAATCTAGTAATTGACACAAGAATGCAAATGCAGTAGATATAGATAATAAGTAATGCCAAAGTAAGATATGCTCTAAGTCTGTAGAATGCAAGAAGCCAGAATTCCACAGGTATGGTGTGTGTTTTTGATGCTAGATTGAAGAATGGAAGGCAGGAGCAGGAATGCAGACTGATCTGAGTAGATTATACTAAACAATTAATCAGATAATACACTTGTCCATCTGGATGTCTATGACTGATAAACAACATATAATTGGGAGTAGTTAATATTTCAATAACTAAATGGCTAGCTCAGAATAAGGCACTATAGGTACAGATCTAGAACTATCCATCCAGGAAGAGATCCTCCTTCTGAATATGATGTTGGATTCTGTATATCATCAGGATCTCATCAACATTAGCCTTAAACCACTTCTTCAGTGCACCTAGATTCTCAACATGTGTGTAAACAGTTGTCTCCATGTACAAAAATGCAGTCTTATGCCTGGCACAAAGCAGGTGGAAATATCACTGCCTAGAAGAACAATGATATCAATGACATAGTGCTTGATTGTCAGTAAGTATATTACTCATGAAGATGTGCTAGGAAAAGCATCCTTTGGAGCAGCACTATGCTGGTCTGGCTGGTGAATCTGCACCATAATCTTGCCATATCTATATACCAATGGGATCTCAGCTGCATAGTTATCAGGTTCTAGATTGACACAGTTGAACAAGATTACAAAGACACTCTGGCTTCTATAAGTATTCAACAGCACTGAGGTACACCTGAGATAGGGTCTATAATGGTAGAGTGATTGTGCCTAAAGATTAGCCTATTTCAAATGATGCATTTAGACATCAAAACTTATGAGACAGATGAAACTGGTGGGTCAAAAGTAGCCTGTACCTGTGTTCATCCTGTGCTTCAGCAATTCATTTGTTAGCAATAGGTGGAGAATGATAACTATTGTATTCTATTATATTGCAAATGCTTTTTTGAGTGGTATGGAATGATGCTGAAGGAGAACCTTGCAGCAGACCAAGAGTCAAGTTATAAGCTATAAATAAATGAGAAAAATCTGCTAAGAGATTTAGAGACTTATAAGACATACCAGATAACAGAGGTATAGAATGTATATCTGAGCTGAGACACAAGACATGAAACTCAAAACTTTTGTTGTCTTGCCATTCAGAGAGTTCTGGTGAGATAACCTCCTCAGATAATCCTAAGCTTTTTTGCATCTGCTTCAATTCTTGAATGACTGTAGAGAACTTTGGATGCATGGATGGCTCCTTCTGCCAACATGTTTCAATCAACTCTTGCAAAGCTGAAGTACTGAAAGGCATCAATGGAATATTAGGATGAGAATCTTTTACTGGTACAATTATTTAGATATTTTCAGGGGTAGATTTAGAGTAACTTATCACAGACCAAATTTCTAACAGTGTAATCATCTATAAATGGCCAGAGCACTCATCCTATAGATAGAATCTCAATACAGCATATCACAAATGCATACATGTCTATCTCAGTAGTCAGCTGGCTTAGACCTATCATCAACTCTGGTGTCTGCCACCTCAATGTGCTATCTATAGAGTAATAATAAGTGTGGGGTTTGGAGTTCACAACATTAAAACTTATAAGGCAGGGGCATCTCACTGATGCATAAGGCTTTCAATTTCATCTCACTCTGACCAAAGTCAGAGATGATGCAGCAAAGCTGATCATCAACAAGAACATTATATGCCTGTTAAATCTTCATCAATTGGGATCAAAACTAATAAATAGAAGACAATCTTGAGATTTCCATGCAACATGCTGTTATTATATAAGTATGCCATTCTCTAAGTGACCTCATACATGAACTTTAGAAGGTCTCATACCTTCCAGCCAGCATCCCTAGAATTCCATGAATCAGATAATCTTTCAGTCATACTCCTGTCCACTCATTGCAAGAACTCCACCAATATTCTGTTCTTCAGATAAAAACTGACAAAAAACCACAGTGGATCACTACTGGCACTGCTGGCACCATATAGCTCCAGTACATTCAAGTGTTGCAGCATCTTCCAGATCCTGATCTCTTGGATAAACAGATTTCTTGGAGTTGTCTCTGCAACAATCTTAATAGCCACAGTTTGTTCAAGCCATGTTCTCCTATAAACATCAGAGGATGAGCCCCTGATCTTTCACTCATCATTGACTTTATAACTATGCCAGCATGTCAGTCAAATGCAGTTTCAGAATAACAAAAATGCCTACCAAGTGATGGTCCAACTTGGTAGATTCAAATTTGCTTTGGCACCTTCACTCATCTATTACAATGCATCAATACCAATCTCCATAAACTCTTGATTCAACATATCTTTCCTCTTCATAGAAGAAATTTCTTGATGCTTCCTCATGCTGTCTGTACTACTGTCACTCAAACTCCAGGTTGTGGACACTATTTTTAATGTCTTTATTTTGCCTGCAACAGGTGAGACAGCTTTCTTCCTCTGCATACTAATCCTTCTCACTATCTTGATCAACTTACCATAATTGTGCCTGGCACTGGAAATAGATTTAGTGTCATCAGTTGAAACTTCCTTCCATCTTTCCTTTGACAGTGTCACTAGAGAAGGACCATTGCTGCCTACACTATGAATCTCAATATCAGTCTCATCTCTACTACTGAAAAAGCTGCTTTGCTTCTCTATGATCTTTTCCAATGCTCTTTGTAATGCCTTGATGGCCTCAGGTATCTCTTTTCTTGTTATGCCTAATATTTCTGCTGTTTGCATATCACTGCCAGCACTCAGGACATTCTTCAGCAGTGCCCTTGAATCAGCTGCATCTATTGCTATATTATATTCATTTTGTCTGGCTCACAATTCCTTGAGAGTTGGCAAGATAGTTGCTGAGGCAGTGTCATGATTTTTGTCTCTAAATCATGATCTGCCAATGCTTAATGATGAAGACATGATAACACTATGGCTACATCTTATTCATTAATGCACAATAAGATGATAAGGAACAATATGATAACTATCACCATTTCATATCTTAAACACAATGGAAACTATGGCATATGGGAAACTCACTATAGCAATGATACAGCAGAGTGACAATAACAAACAAAAGCAAGAGCACAGTCATTGTTATCCCAGACAATGAGCAGAGGGCATAAAAAGCAGACAATAGTTGCCTGTAGAGCATAGGGTTCTTTAGACAGTATATAAGGCAGTAGTACACACTGATGTACCTCAGTCTTCAGCTAAGGTTTAATACACCTACTATACTCTCTGACTATCTGATGTGAATACTCTTGCCACAATGGCAGACTATATCTACCAGCTACAACTCTCCACCCCTCTCCACAAAATTCTTATAGCTTACCTTATTATACTTCTATATCAAAACCAGACTCAGACTCAGCATCTAGAATCAGATCCTGGCAGAAGCAGTGCTAGAGATTTGTGAGTGTCAGTGAAAGTCTAACAGACAGATGACATCAATCTTAGTGAAGTTAGAGTGTTAGATGAAGCACTAGATGCTGAGAGTGGAGGGGTAGACAGAAAGTGATATTTAGATATGGAAGAGAGTGATGCAGATAAAGGAGATTTGAAAGGGCCAGTGTTGAGTGATGTATGGGAATCAAAACCAGGAAGGCTGAAAAGAGCAGGCAGCTTGGTGTCAGACAACAACCAAACAATCACAAATACAATGCACTGCAACAGCCAGAGTCTGACACTAACTGAAGGTAGAGCAGAAGGATGAAGATAAGAGTGTATAAGATGATGATAAGAGAATGGAGTTATAGAGGTTGATAGACTACAACTGCCAGTGTTGATACTGAAGTGGTAGTCACACCAAAAGTTTAGGGGTTTGATCAGTATATTGACCTTAGCTTGAGACTAGAGTATATCATTGTATACTACTGACTTAAATACTGTATAAAAAAGTCTTGGCAATCTCAACCAAGCTATTGTCTCAGTGTCTCAAACCAAGTCTTAGCTGGACATGCATGATTTAGGGGCTAAAATCATGATATTACCCCCTCTTTAAGGCAGTCATCCTCAATTGCTGAGAAGAGCCTCAGAAATAAAGTGACAGCTTCATCTTTCTCATTAATCTCTACTAAGGTGTTGCATATCTGATCTAGAGGAAATGGCTGGATAACTACAAGTGTACTAGCCTTGATTTTATTGATGTCTTTTCACATGTGAAGCTTTTTGGCTTCAAATGGGTGTTGTTTGAGTTTGAAGGGAAGCTTTTGAGTTCTGATGTAGTCTGACTTATTGAACATTGGTCATCTGAGCCTAACATTGTTCACCATGGCAAGTGAGTTCTGTGCTGCACAGTGCTTTGCAATGAGCTTTTTTGCATGTGGAAGGTCCTTTTCAGCATACCAGTGGTTTTCCTCATTACCATATTCCTTGAAATGAATGAGAAACCACTGTTTTTGATAATGAATTTTATTGTCAAGGATCATGTCAATCTCATATTCATCTTCATCATTCATAACTATTGGTTTGGGTGGTGGTGATGCTCTCTGGTTGGAAAACTCTGCTGTTTGAAATAGTTTAAGAAGGGTTTCATTGAAGACAGGATGGATTTTTCATATCTTTGGAATAGCTAATTCATATACCCCATTGCCTACTTTCTTTATGACCTTGAAGAGGCCTTCAAACTTGTCATCTAACTTCTTCATCTTTCTGTCTGTCTTCAGATTCTTCATGTACAGTATAACTATGTTGCTTGGCTGGTAGTCTCTTGCCAGTGCCTTTCCCTTATCATATTGTCTCTTCATGAATTCTGCTGCCTTGTGCAATGCACATTCAGTCTCATCATGAATTTTCTTCATCTCTGCTGCAAAGTCTTTTGCCCAGGGTACTTGGCTTTCCCTTTGTGAAGTGTTTATTCCAGTATTCAGATGGGTTCCAGTGTTTATATAGAATGGACTGTAGTCTGTTGATGAATTTTCATAGTTATTGTAGGCAAATCCTACCATTGAGAACCACTCTACCCAATCATCTTGCTGGTGGTTTATGAAAATCCTGAGGTACTTTTCAATTTTTTGATTGACCCACTCTGTCTGTTCATCAGTCTGATATGGAATACAAGACTGGTATGCTCTATTTCAAATGATGTTGTGTCTTAGAACCTCTGATACCCTTCTATTACTTTATATATTATTTTTCAATTAGATAATATCTGGACATTGATTAACACTTTTATATAAGAATATTTTGTGTCTTGAAATAATTTATCAAAAACTTTAATAGCAATATTGGCTGATGAAAAACTTTAGCTTATTGGCATCCCAATGAAAACTAACAGCCACAAAATCTAATCAGGCTATTTCTTGAATATATTCATGACCTCAAAGTGTACAGAAAATAGGTGAGATCTAAACAATTGAACTCATCAATGTTAAGCACAATAAGAGGAGGCCAGAAAAGGCCAATGCTGTGGCCTATAGTTGCCAGAAGGTAATGACCTGCTGGCCTGTCTGTGTAGGGCTGCTAAATCCTCTACACATCCTGGAAGTGGTGGATCTCCAGAAACTGATCTTTGTGTTTTAATTGATATTTATGATCAGGCTATAGGGTCCCCAATAGTAAGGTCATTTTGAATATGACAATGCATCATATTCAAGATAGGATGGTAGCAGTCTGGCCAGAGGAGAGGCAGCATAAGGTTCAGTGGCAGTTGCAAAAGTGGATTAGAATTGTTTGGCATAATTAGAATAGTCATGTCTGGCAGTATGAAATGGTCTGGCTTGCCTTCAGAAAGGCCTTGTGAGATCAATGTCATGGACACAGATATGTATTTCATGCCAGGCAAGAGAAAACAGAACAGCTGGAAGGTAATATAGTTGAGAATAAAGATTTCTGAGCTCACCTTTTGAGTCCTGAAAAACCTGTAGTCTACAAAATAGCTAACTGTGTATACTATTAGGTCCTAAGAACAAATGCATGTCACTTTCTTATGGCATCCCTTTGGGATACTAAAGTTCATACTATGCTGGCATTGCCTGATCATTGCAGCAAGATCAAGATGCTTTCAAGTTCCTGGGTTGGCCAGGCCACTGATCTGGACCAAGGCAATGCCTAACACAATTGATGTTCAATCAGCATGGAACACAGTTCCCTATCAATTGTTCAGACCCTATGAGCATAGAATATACAATAATTAGCATTTTTGTGTCGCTACAGGGAACAACTCTTGAGTGATATCCTCTAATAGATGTACATCATGTGTGCCCGAAATTCCTCTGTGAGTACAGTCTCAAAGAGCATCGTCTGCCTTCGTTTGACACAATGTCTTCCTAACAGATTCACTACTCATGCTGCCCAAGTGAGGAGGACCTCCTCCAGACCCATCCAAGGCGCTCCGGAACCCTATCGTGACAAGTCGCATTGGGATGGATGGCTCTAAAGAGGCCGTATCTGTAAAGTCTTCGACTGATGCTTGTGTTAGAGCAGTAGGTCTCTGAGTCCACGCCTGGTTTTGCGTCTGAGTTTGATGAACTGTTTCGATCGCGATATCAAGGGTGGACCTAACGCAAACGAGGGTAATGATCAGAGTTGGATAGATGGCCTGTCACTGTCTCATCAGCATTCCCCAAGGACATCGGAGCTGCAAAAAACTGACTGTCAGTTGTGAGATGGTGTCAATCATAATATAGATTGCATTGCTTGAGGAAAGAAATATAGCGATGACGATGAGCTATGCGATTCAACGTTGTCAGACGGAGAGATGAAGAGGAGCCCGAGTCATACCCATGTGCAACAATATAAAGTGCCAGACTCGATTAGAATAGGGAGAATCGCACTTCGCTTGCGGAAGCTTCCCAGGATGGAGACGCCCGTGAGATGACGGACTAGCTTGAAGTGCAACCTTTCGAATAACGTTCATGTTTGGTAAACCATTATCCAAGACGAAATTTACCATGTACGATAGGCAACAAGTGTCGTAGCCCACGCGTTTGTTGAAAATGTTGAAAGTATGAATGCAACGGCCCAGACTTCAAGCCTGGGATCAGTAAACACGACGCCAGTAGGCGCCGTTGCAACGGTGTATACAAGTCCAATGCCCGAAGCTTGAGATATGCCAAAGATCAGCATGAACGACGGTATCTACAACGCCGATTACTTGCCCATGGTTCCCAGAAGAAGAAGCACGGATGAGAGTATGATCCACCACCTACGATTCCATAAAATCCATGCTCTCCATATTACGATCCCATCACCCAACGCTATCTATGTTATAAGTTAAGGAGAAGTTTAACCGATACTTGGGGAAACTCGCGCACATTCACAACCTCCAGCATGAGTTGAGACCACTGTGTCACGGACGACGTATCATGGAATACACTGTCGTCCTTGGCACCGTTATGCCAAAGGAAAGCCGCAAAGTTCTGCCTGAAATTGATGATCATATGGGCAGTAGCGACCGCATACATGAGGCAATTCACGAGAGTCATTACAGCAACGACCCGATTTTTCTTCTTCTTGAACCTAGAAACGATGCTACAGTTAATAACTCTGGTGCAATTTTGGCATGATTTCTCACAGCAGAAGATACATTGACGCCAAGAACAGTCCAGTGTAGAGTCCTGATTTATCCGAGTGAGTGATACGGCGAATATACGAATATCAAAGACAAACCATGCAAAAAGACTTCACAACCAAGTCCGATAAAATACCCTTCAGGCGTTGAGAAGGAGCCCATGCTTGATGGCGACAAGGGTTAGAAATTCTCTACAGCGGCTTTTTCTACGGCATCACGGGGATCCGATGAGGCTGGCTTGGTTTTTCTGGGTGATTGCCAGTCGGCACTTGGCAATGCGGATCTAACCAGCAGCCGAAATCATCAGAGGATTTACACAGCGTGCGGCTATGTGTTTTGTTTCCTGTTTTCAATTGAAAACCTCCGCTAAGAATTAGAGCACGGTGGTGATTACGGCCACTTCGGCCTGCAGTCTTGTTCCAATACACAAGGAGGGAACAGGACAAGCGTTTCATTATAGAATTACCAGTTGCTTGGTCGTCCACGAGGGCTCAGGCACGAGGAGTGACTGAATGCAACTTCCATTAGCATCAGTGGCAATGATGAAGCGTGGTGATCATAGTGCATGTCTCGAATGCTTTTACCATTGATATCAGAAAGACCAGTAGTAGAAAGGGGTGAGACTGACAGAAGTGTAAGTAGAGCGGTCTAATTTTTAAAGTTGAAGCCTCTGGCAGGATATCAAAAATCTGTATGAGTTCTGCGCCACGCCGGCGCCCTGCGAAGTCCGGACCCCGGCTACTGTGTTGCCGTTCACCGAAGTTTGTTGGGTGCCACCACCTTGTAATGGCCGGTATAGCGGCATTGGTAACCTTCCTCAGCAATCTCATCTCAGAATCGTTTATATGATACCTCTTTTGTCTGCTCTGCTAGCTACCTGGTTTGGAAAGCTCTCTGGCCGAACAAGATGGGATCCTCTAGGAAAGGTGCGTCGCCTTCAAACATCAAACTGGCCCTGTCCAACGAATCATATATTCTAGCATTGCTATATCACCGGAGGCTCCTCAGGGCTTGGCTTGGCGTTAGCGATCCGCCTTGTAAAGCTAGGCGCACATGTATCGATCGTGGCCCGTAACGAAAAGCGACTGCAAGAAGCGCTCGAAAAAATGGAGGTGCTTCACTTATATTTTCGAACCCTTCACTTGATATTGATCACAAAACAGAATGTCAGGCAGTCGCCGGACCAGATTCTCGCGGCCTATTCCTTCTCCGTTACAGCGTCGCAATCTACTGCTGATGCATTGGACGCTGCATCAGCACCGCATGGTGGCAGATGCCCGGATGCACTATTCCTTTGTGCCGGTGGGCCTTCTCCGAAATTATTTCTTGAACACGACGAAACTTCGATGAAAAAGGGAATGGACGACGCGTATTGGGTACAAGCTCTGTCAGCTCTCGTGAATGTCCTGCGCCCTAGTGTCGACGTTGTACTAATTTTGCGTAGGAAGGGACAAAACGAATGGTCAATGAGAAGATTCAGGGCAAAATTATATTCATCTCTTCGTTCTTGGCGTTTATGTCCATCGTTGGCCATTCGTCATATGCTTCCGGAAAGTTTGCTCTACGAGGTTTGTGCATTTCTATTCCGACTAAATGCTATTTTGACACCTCGCCTTCAGGTCTAGCGGAGACATTGCGTTCCGAGTTCCTTCTATATGGAATTACGGTCCACATCTTCTTTCCCGGCAACATGCTCACTCCAGGACTCGAAGCTGAAAACAAAACAAAGCCTAAAATCACTCTGAAACTGGAAGAGACTGACACAGGTCAAACCGCTGAACATACCGCGGATGGGCTTCTTCAGGGTGTGAACGGACCATTCTGCTACGCGTTTTCAACTGACATTCTTTCAGGCGTGTTTAGAGGTGACTTCCACATAACGAATGATTTGCTGGGAAATATCTTCCGTTCTTCGACGAGAGGAGCGACGCCTCGGAATAGCATCGTTCTGGACGAGATATACAGTTTCTTTGGCTGGGTAAGTCTGTTTTTGGGTCATTTCAAACTGATTCTGATATGAGACCTTTCAGGTGGGACTCCCCGTCTGGCGTCGGATCACAGACTCGACAGTGAGAGATCATCGAGAAGAACATCGCACATACTTAATGGAGACTGGGTTTCTGGTGACATCGAATGGCTAAAAGATGCCAAGATGCACATTCTTGATGAACTCTGCTATATTGTTTGTTCCGAGAAGACTTCACTTCGAACGGCGCCTTTCATACTTTCCTCTTCAGCGATGCTACCGATGGCTTTTCTTGTATCATTCTACAGCAGGTTACTCCGGCTTCGGTAGCGTAGATAAACTTACTCAGCTTGGACCCCAGATGATATATCGGCTCGGATCTGTATACCCATATCTCCGAGTTACCTATACGACCCTATCGCGTAATACTACCTACTTACCATCTATGTTTATGCTGATGCATTAATGACTTACGAAGGGAATTCGACGCACTACATATCAACGGCGTCTTTGGTCATCTGACTCCGAGAAACTACTTTAGAGGAATGGGGGTCATCGATGGCTTTCTCGAGTGCATGGAAGAGAAGGCTATATCGTAAGACTAATTCGAGTCTGAGGACGATATAGCAATCCGGTGCGTATAAACGAGAGACTCGGGAATAACCTCGTATCTCTTATTATGAAAGAAGACCTTTCTCAGCCAGATAGGAACGATGCTCTTGTCGGTGTCCCTTGATAGTAGAATCCACGGACCGTCGCCATATAGGGAGTATCACCTACAATACATCAGCCAAGTCCTTCTACTGAAGTAGAGACGTACCCAGCCAATGAAACTATAGATCTCATCTAGGAACACATGATTTCGAGGTGTCGCGCCTCTGGTGGAAGAACGGAAGATGTTCCCTAACAAGTCCGCTGATATATGAAAATCGCCGCGCTGAACACCTGGCTTGCAGTGAAGGAGGATCCGGATGCTGACCGTAATCAGAACCAACCTTTCAATAGACCCTCAGCAGCCTTGTCGGGAGTCTGACCTCCATCCGTCTCTTCAATTGTGAGAGTAATCTTCGGCTTGCTTTTGTTTTCCGCTTCATAGCCTGGGCTATAGATCGTCCCAGGGAAGAATGTGTGGACAGAAATTCCGTACAGGAGCATTTCCGAACGAAGCGTTTCCGCTAGGCCTACATAAGTCGAAAAATTAGTAGCAGCCTGCAGAGAAGTCGGGGGAAAATAACCTCGTAACGCGTGTTTCGCAGGCGCATACGAGGAATAGCCCATAATTGACATGTAACCGAGGAAAGAAGAGACGAGCACAATCTTTCCAGCCTTGTTCTCCCGCACCATGCGCTTTGCGCCGGCCTAGTCACAGTAGTTTTAAGAAGGACTGAGTCGGAGAACACCAGGAGACACGTACCAGAGCTGACCATGCCTGCACCCAGTACCCGTTATCCATTCCCTTTCTCATCGACGTTTCGTCCTCTTCCACAAAAAATCCTGGTACTGCCGCCCCGGCGCACAAGAGGAGAGCGTCTGGGCAACGACCATTGTGTCCTTCGGATGCAGCTTCCAATGCAGCCTCGGACGATTTACACTCGCTGAGATCGTAGGAATACCATCTGAGAATTTGACTGGGAAGCTGCCGTGCTTTCTATGTGGCTTTAGATCCACTTGAAGCAAAGTAGAAGTACAAGAGACACACCTCCATCTCGGCATGTGCAGCACGTAGTTTATCTTCATTACGGGCGACGATGGACACGTCTGCACCGAGCTTGACAAGAAGAAGGGCGACTGAAAGCCCTAGGCCCTGGGATCCGCCAGTCACATAACAGTGCTACATTCCAAAGAAACTGAGCACAACGATCATCAAAGGATTCGATACCATTAACCTTCCCTTTAGGATCCCATTTATTACGGTTGAAAGGAAATCTTAGCATGAGGACCAGTACAGCAAAAACGAGCGTCACCACAGTGGGAATCATCGTGGTGAGAGCTGCAGGATATTTAAATTTGCTAACAGCCACGTGGACAAAGCCGGAATCGCCGTATTGTGTGTTTCGCCAACAATACGGCTATTCCATATTGACAATGTGGCCATCCGACTGTAATTCTTCCTCAGCACCGCCTTATGTTAACAGCAACCAGAGAACAGTCGAGGCTCCGAGACGCACTATATAGACGTACGTGGTCACTGTTATCGGTTGTTATGCTGTCCAATGTTCTGATTATTACAATTACTAGATTGATGGGGTCGCAGAGGTATTATGCGATCTACAACAAACTTGCTGATGATACTAGCATTGAATATTATTTGCTGTGAAACACAGCGAAACCACTATTTGTCCGGAAAGCGCCGGATTTCGCCAGCGAAGAAGTCCTGTTTTTATGATAATCTGTACCATGGATCATTGCAAGTGTTTATTCTCACATAGAAGACAGAGTCAGAATCATGTACCGCAGACTTTCAGCACATCCAAAGTCCTCATTCAACAAACCGACTCTGCCAATCCTTCACTAGTTGATCCTTACCTGGAGGATAGAGATGAGTATATCATGCACTCACCCATGGCCGTAGGCGCCAATTTGCTTCCCATTATCCTCGGCAACCGGCACCTCAGCTGTATCGCACGGGGGTTTCATTCGATCGCCTGATCCTCTCCGTTCTTAACCTCTATCGAAGTCCTGTGCTGCTATATAAAAACTTGGCTATATAAACCCAAGAGTTGCAGGGTACATCTATTCTCTAACAATCGATCATTAATGACACTTGTTAGAAGAGCGCAAGTCCACTGATCGTCCGTGGACCCCCGTTTAGTTGATGCACACTTCCTACACGCCATAGATAATGAAGTCGCAGTCGCATGCTGCGAGATCCGAACCATGCCCGGTCGTACGAGTCAGACTTTGATTAATATTGGGCCACTAAAGTAAAGTGAACATGGGAAAATGACGCACATCCTCGTCGTAAACACGCCTCGTGGCTGTTCAGGATGACTCGATACAAGTCATATATGGCCTAAATCGGCGTCGGACCCACAGACGTTTGTTCATCCTACGTTACGGACGGGCCTCGTGCTGGCGGTGTGTCGAACACAAGAAACCTTGCATCGTGCTCGAGTTCAGGTGATTATAATCAGCCTGGGTGCTGCGATTGTCCCCCCCCGGAAAGATTGCCGCCAAGTCCTGTCGCTTACTAGGTGTGCGACACATTTTATGGCAAGGTGTTGTCAGTGTTCTGCACTACAGATGAAGCAGCTGAGTTTGCAGCGGTTCATCAGCATCAAATGTGTTGCTACGACTCCTTTCCTAACCTGGCCGAATCGGAACTTTTACTTGCTCGATCACGCATGCCAGGAAGCAATATGCACGCCTCCTGCGAGGCAACTTCCTCCATCCTTATATATAACGGCCATCATCTCTTCTAGCTTTCCATCATACCCTACCAAATCATTTCTCTTTGCGTTGAACGCCAATGAACTTCGATTTACCACCTCTCCGAATTGCTCTGCACTTCACTCTGGTAAGGTCAATCATCTCACGAGAGAAAGGATGCGCTGGTTCTCATCATGTTATGCCAGGGTGTATTCTCCATCATCCTTCTCGGGCTGACCTCTGCCCGAATACACTATACCACCAACCTCCCAGCAGGCGATCCTCTCAACGGCGGCGTCGATTTCTACGGTGAGCCCCAACGTGGTGACCGCGATCACCGAACCGAAGACTAAAATATCTCCCAGACCCAATTGTTGTGGAACTACTGGTTACCACAATCCTAACAATACCGTGGTGCATCTACATGTGTGTCTCGTAGCCTGCCCCCATTATGTTCTTCCCTTAACATTCCAACAGCGTCCGTATCATCCACAAACGTATTGACGGCAGCCTCATTTCCACCTTCCGCGGCGAGCTCATCGGACTTTCCGTCCTCTGGCTATTCTGGATAGTAGGCGCGGCCCAATCCAGTGTAGGCACTTTCTCTCTCCCATTTCTGCGCAGGCTCATACACACTATTTTGATGCAGACAATCTGGGGCGATCTCAGTTGGTGCCAGAGATATCAGCCATGCCGAATCCTGACCGCCATGCTCGCATTCGCCTGGCTGGGGTGGATCGTTCTCACGCTCATCATGGTCCTGAGCATCATATTCTCTATAGTGAATGGCGCCTTCAGTGAGCCCCTGCATGGTCGGTGGGATCCAAGAGCAAGCGTCTACACCGGGCAGATGTCGACACGCACCTCCGCTGCTGTGTAGCATTCTCCTTGTGGTGTCGAGCTGCGTGCATGTTCTAAGATGAAGAACGTGTCGTCAATGATTCCTACTTTCTGTTATATTTTGTATAATCAATTATTACTGTCCCTCGTTTTCATTTGAACAGAATCTTATATCTAGTCCTATAGTATTGGTTGATTGAAAAACTCATTCAGAATGCTGATCTTATTTCTTTGTTTACGACGTATAACTTGGAGGAGATGAACAGTTCATTGCATCGAGAATATCGCAAAATAATTGGATGTGCGTAAATGATACCTACTCAAGTTATGGCCTATGATAAGGGCCATGTTGACCATCGAGAGCCGAGCCATACAGCTCTCAAGAGACGATTCCTTGTGTCGTATATCGCGGACTCCATGGCGATAGGATAGTCTCCATCGATGATGCTACGTCTCACCGTGTGCCATGTGGTGTCGGGGACGTCAGAGCGATGGTATCGCACTTTGTTTTGTCTCGACGACGGTGATATCAAAAAGCCCATGATGGCGTCCAGCAACCATCCTCGAGGCTCGTAGCTAAGAATATCATGACCTATGCAATGTGAATGCCGTCGTCGTGCTATCTCTAATCATTGGCTTATACATGCTTGTATGGTCAATGCAGCTAAGCCCTCGAGATAATTCGATGCTCATAACATTTCTGCACGAGCTCGGAGCGGTGACGGGATGATGCATTCACGTTTTCTTCACGCATGTGGCATTTGACTGCTCTACTTTGCTTTCAGGTTAACAGCATATTACAGAGGTTAGGGGCACCGTTTAGTGTGGAGTCTGGTGTCTCTAGCTGGATGACTTGATTTAGTTTTTTGTTTCGAATACTGTACTAATTCGTTTGGGTCTCTGAATTCACCGATCTTGTTCCATGTTTCGACTGCGATTCTTTGTCTGCGTCGTCTTTTGCATATATCATATGAATGACCAGGATGTGAGACATCTCACTTGCAAAGTATTTAGGCCGAGGTACCGGCGAGCTTCGTACCTTGGTACTATCACCATCTCCTATTGCAACCCTGTTGTCTCTAGGATATCTTACCTTGTTTCCACCTTCATTCTCAACCCGCCTGATTCGTTAACTGACAGACTATTCCTAGCCGTTATCGAGGGGTAAACAAGACACTCACATGGAACATGGGTGAAGTCGAGGTATGTATTGGATGCATTCAAGCCGATGTACCTCTTCTAACTTGCTATTAGAAAAAGTTATCCTCTTCTCCTCGCCTTGAGATGGTCAAATATAAATGCCATATCACCGGCATGTATCTCCTTCCACTCCTTCGTGCCGGCTTCTCGTCTCTGGACCTGGACTCCTCCATGATCAATTCCATCAATACCCGAATACAACGTCAGGATATCGAAGTGCAATCTCGTCAAAAGGAAATCGCTTCGATCCAATCTGTTCTACAACGTCTTCAAGAGGAGTGCGATCACACCGTGACCGATCTCTCTGATAATAAATCACTATTGTCCCCTATCCGACGCGTACCACCTGACGTCCTGTTGCACATATTCAATTTGGCAGCTGATGATAGTGAGATCTGCCTCACATCACCTCCGTTCATCCTTCGTAGCATATGCTACACATGGAGGGTCCTTGTGTTGTCATCGCCATCCCTTTGGTCTAAGGTGAACACCGATGTAACTAAATACCAGTGAGAGAGGAGTGAATTATACAACTCGAAGAATCTCCTCCGCACCGCCTTCTCTCTGTCGAGAAATTGTCCCCTCAGGATGTCAATTCGGGGCTCGATCACCGCCCCAGAGGAATGCGCGTTAATGACAAAATGCATCGCTCCTACATCTCAACGGTGGAAATCCCTGTCTCTCCGTGTCTCTGATCCTGAAAGCATCCGTGGCCTTTTGCACATCTCAGGACACCTCCCAATGCTAGAAAGCTTGGATTTTACCATGTACCACAATCATCCACGAGATTACTTTGGTACCGCGCTTTCCCGGATTTTCCGTTCCGTTCCTTTACTACGCTCCGTTACAGTAGCTGGCGACTTCTTTGCCGAATTATCGCATCCTCTTCATCAACCCACGAGCATCAGTTTCGACTCTGGGCTGGCCAGACGTCTGACAAATCCCTTTTCTATGGTTGTATTGCGCAAGGGACGGAACTGAAATCGTTTACCTTCCGTAGCATGTCTGACGGTTGTTCGGACATGCGGAAATTTCCTGTACCATTACCGGAAATAACCCATTTAAATATCCGACAGCTTTCACCGGGATACGATATTCCCACAGATCTGAAGTACTGTACTTTTCCAGCACTGGAGGACCTGATTCTTTTTGCTTGTCTTAAACAACAGTCTTCAGGACTCAATTATATTGTACATGAACTTGGAATGATCTCCGAATTGTTGAAGCGCTCCAAACCCCGTCTTCGATCTTTCGCCGTGTACAGGCCTCTTCCTTTACTGGTTCTTAACGACATCGCCATGGAGATGTTTACGTTCCTCACAGATCTCGTCATTGCCGTAAACGAGGAAACGTCAACTGAAATAGTGCAAAGATTGGCAGAGCCTTCGTTCGTCCCATGTCTTCAGCGATTGTCCCTGCATATCTGGTTTCCAGCAAGATCATTATTTGAAGATGATTCCCTATATGCCATGGCAGTATCTCGACACAAATGTGGGCTGCAATCACTGGTCTTGTCGGTTCCAAACACCGAGGTTTTGAGGACCTATCGCCTGGTTAATTCTGACTGGAAGGGGCGTTTGTGACAAGTATATAAACTGAAAGAAGCTGGATTTGGAGTGATCTTCTTATTGAAGAAAAGAGACGTTTTTAATGATGAAGATGCATCTAATGAGCTTGCGAATTGGCTTGATTTTTGGAGTAATATGTAGCATTTCACCTAATTGTATGACTTGTAAATTTACTTGCTGGTTGTATTCTTGTGCCTCGAGTTTGACTAAATGAACAATTGATCCATAGAATGTAATTTATGGCAAGCAACGATTATTATGCCTGTTATGCTATAGGATAGTTGTGATTATGTGCTTCCCAGCTGAGGGTTTACCTGAGCTATTCATTACATAAAGAAACAGTATCAGTGGAAGCAGGAATCAGAAATGATTTCATCATAGAAGGGACAATGGACATATTTTGAAATTTGACTTATATATAGATGATTTGTACTTGAATTCTTTTTGGGTCCATCCTGTACCACTTTCTATTCTGTCTGTTTACTTCCATCTCCTTAGGGCACATCATCAGCTGTATCCACTGCACTTGTCAAAAACTTTGCTAATATGCAGTTTAGGTACAGATGTGACCCATTGCAGTTAATATTGACTGGGATGGAGATGCAGAGATATGGTCTGGCCCAAAGTCTCTCTTCCTTTTACCACCATTATCAATGCAACAATGATGAAAGTCACCAAACTGTTTCCAATGTGATGGACCTTGATGATCTGAGGGCATGTATATAGTGGAACTCTCTGTAATTATTCATCTCATTGCTCAATGATAATGACAGTGATATGGATGGCCTTGCTTGCATTCAATATTGATATCCAACTTGTATTGTGAGTCTTGCAACTGTCATTTCATCATTTTCAGCAATTATAAAGTCTACTATAGATGACTGATCCTGCCTGTACATTGCTTGGCATGCATATAGTCACTGAAATTCCCATTTCATCATGTATAGCTGGCTTCTGTTGGCTTGAAGACTTATTTCTAAGAGCAATACTGTCTATATGAAGTTCTGAGCTTGTGAAAAGGTAATATTTAAGCAATATTAGGTATGTAGTATGGTTTTTTTGGTGGTGTATTCAGTGGCTTATGCATCTACAGTCCCATTTCAAGGCTGAAAATGTCACATATCTGCCTCTTATAAGCATTATTTTCACCTGTTTATTGACTGATTCATCTTTTGGATCACTAACTCCTCATATGCCACATATATTCACTTAAATTCCAGCTGTACCAATTAGTGTGGGCCACTAACAGTTTGGATATTATTTTTAGTGTGGTATAGAAGCCACAGACTATGTTATCAGTAATAGAAGGTATGAGATGCATCCTTTCCTGTCATTCACAGCTCATACAGTTGCTTCTTTAAGCCTATTTTTATATCTACTAATGTTGCTACTTCTCCTGAATCACAAAATGTCAACATAGCTTGGTATCATCTTTTAAAGGCTTGAAAAGTTGGCAGGCCAGGTGAGAAAGAATAATTGGATAAGCTTTTGATGAGCCATCATTAGAGTGATCCACTATTTTGCTCAAGTTAACTTCTATATTGCCAAGCTGTTCCTAATGACACTGAGGCAGTATCAGCAGTCCTCCTTGATAATAGTCTGCATGTCATGCATAAATTGATGTCAACATTAGCATCACTAGAGCAGTGGCTTCACATCAATACATCAACAAAATGTCTTCAACTGGACAGTACTAGTATATTGTGTTATTTTATGCAAAATTGACCACAATATATGATCTCAGTTATTGCAGACAGATCTCTTTTCTTCTGAGATCAATGAAACATATTATATTTGCCCTGACTTTTTCATTCCTGAGAGACCAATATTCTCTCTTTGGAGACAGGAGCACTATTCCTTAAATCTATAATGGCAAATCTTTGTGCATCAAAGAGTAATATATATGCAGCAATGTTTTCTATATTAATTGTCTTTCTATTTGATGCACTTAAATGAGAAAGCTTGGCACTATCAGAATAATAAAAAACTGAATGTCTAAGGATACTTTACTACAAGTAGCTGCAGATCCTGCTGCAGAAATTGACTCTAGCTTTGACAGTAGAAGCATTCTATTTCTAACATAATATTCAAATATTGATCACCATCACTGTTTGAGGCATGACTGGACTCAAGCTGCTATGGTGACAGCAGCAGACTCAGTCTAGTAGTCTGATTCATTGCAATTACATGCAGATTCATATCATTTGCTATACTTGTCTGTATTTGTAGCTATTGTTTTATAAGTTGTAACTATCACTAGCCTCTCCAAGATCACAATAGTAAGAATGGTACTCCTCTCCTGTCCATTCAAGTGCCTAATAATACAGCAGAGTTTTGAATCTCCCATTACTCAAGTTCATCAATTGTAATTTAAGTAGTGTATGCTTACTGTTTCTTAATATTATTACCAAACTGAACAGTCTTACATTGTCACATAAAGCACTAAAATCCAAGATGAAACCTATATAACAAAATGATATACATACTACACTTCATATTTACCTGAAGTGCTTCTGCTATTGATTTATAATTAATTTACCCTTTGGATTTCTCAGTGCTCATTCTGAATCTTCTGACATCAGTGAGATGATGAGAATGTCAAGATCAAATTGATGATCTTGATTTTATCTTTAGTATTTGTCTCATAATATTCTATATGTGCCATGTAAAATTCTGTCAGTCATTCAGGACAGTGGAAGTTCTATTGCTTCACAATGCAATTTATAAGGTGTCACAATTTAGTGCTATTCAATGGAGTTTTTACTGACTCATTGAGTAGCTTTATAAATATATACACACTAATTTTTCAACAATTTTGTTAGAGTGAGAGCTGAAAAATATCAGAATCTCAGGCATGGTCATGGTTTCTATGAATAGCACCAGAAAATATTTATACTATAGATATATAAGTATTCAAGAGATGTGAGATATTTGTTCTCAACCCTCACTTGATTTCACCACCCTATATTCTCCTGCAGTTATCACTAGCATGTCTGTTTCAGAAATTTCTTCTTCTATTCAACCTGAATAGCAAGAGGTAAGTGAACCTATAAGTTTGATCTTCAGAAAGATGGAACTTTCTGTTTCTGTCAAACTTTCTGGTGCATCTGAAGAATCTCTGACTGAGTGTAGGTTCATTCATTATTATCAGAAATAGCATGATAGAACATTTCTGAAATAATTCATCAGTGAGAGCTGAGATGGTGCAAGTAGGACTAAAAATGTAGATCAGCACTAGTTCTCTGCTACAACAATGAAAAAAGAAACCATATATCTCTACTATACTCTCAGGAGACAGCCTAACATCTTCATTAAATTTCCACTCTGAGTCATTATGACATTGTTGAGATAAGTTGGTCAAGATGCTCTTATTGATGATTGTGTTAAGCTCAAATGATATGTGACCTAAACATGTGATAAACTGACACTGTCTCACACTTTGAGCAATGATGTCAGAGTCCATTTGATATATTATATGGTTTTGTATCACAAGGCCTTTAGATTGGCTCAAGATAAGATGGTGAAGAAATAAACTTTAGCTCAAAGCTGAGGATACTACAGTGAGAGCTATGCTACTTATATACTAGTCATCATCCATTTAAAGATATAACTATCTAATTGTGTGTCCTGGCATTATAGAGTGTTTTGTCCAGTGTCATTAAGCTACCTACAAAAGGGTATTGTCTGTCATTGAGTAGTAACCATTGCATTGAAGGACAATGACTGACTAGGCATTGTTGTGATGACTAAGCCTGATCTCACAGTCCTAAGTACTGGCCAAGCACTCTGACTAAGCAAAAATAAGAGTCAGTCTCTTGAATAAAAGATAAAAATATGGAAAAACTATAACATTACCTCCTCCTTAAGACTATTGTCCTGATGGCTTAAATTAGGGATAAGTCTGGGCATCCAGAGAGCAGATAACCTACCTTCTTCTTGTAAGATTCATGAAGATATTGACTATTAAATTGGTCAATGCCTCTGGTCATATTCACATATTGCATTCTCAGCATCTGTATGTTGTTCATTGATTCATTGATTTGACTTGGGTCTATAGTCTTTTCAACTGATCAGGTAGTCAGCTGTTGTTGTTATTCTACCACCTTTAGCCTTGATTTTTTATAATTTGTAGTTCAATATCTGATCAACTTTATAGTGTTCTTTATTGTCGATGGAGTTGGATGGTGGCAGAGGCAGTCATTCCTGATTAGAGAATGCCAGTATGATATATGGTGTTAATAATGTCTCATTGAAAATATCATATATTTTCCATATGCTTAAGAGATGCAATTTGTAGGCAGAATTGCCTACTTTTGTAAGGATAGAGAATGGTCTGATGCATTTGTCAGTGAGTTTCCATTTCAGGTGGAGGAGATAGAGGTTTATTGTATTCAGCCAAACTTTATCATTGACTGAATATTCATGGAAAGCATAGCAGTGTTTGTCATATTGCTTCTTTATTATTATTGCAGTCTTTTTAAGAGCTGTCTTAGTCTTAGTATGGATTTTTACTATAGTTGTAGCAAAATCAGTGGAGATGGGTGTGGAGATGTGTGTGCATTCAGTTTGAGTAATGTGAGGGTGTCATTCATAGTTTACAAAGAATAGTGTCTTGTCTGTGGCTGAGTGTATTTGGTTATTATATTGGAAGGCTGCCAGTGTAAGCCATTCCACCCAGTCATCTTGTTGATAATGTTACCATTTTTCCACTTTATTCCTTATTTTCTATCTTTGACCCCTATTTATGCTTAGTCAGAGCACCTAAACCAAGTGTTTGAGACTATGGGATAGGCTTAGTCAGCACAACAAGCCTATTCAATTATTATCTCTTGACATGACAGTGTTGCTCAATAATGCATAACAAGCTTTTGTGTACAGTAGTGATGCCCAAAGACAATAAGCACAAAGGACTTGACAATATACAATATAAAGGAGTATAATTAGCTATGAACTGTAACAGTATTTAAGCAGGCTCACTCTCACTGGTAAT